TCCCTTCATGCCTCTGTCAGAGATCCTTGCCAGCCCCTCTCAGCGTGATACCAGTATCTCTGCGTGTCTTTCTTCTATGCCAGTTGGTGAACTATTTGAGGGCAGAGAATGTGTCTCAGTCATCTTTAGTCGCGAGCACCAGGCACAGTGCTAGGCTCAAAGGAGATGCCCAAGAAGGGCTGTTCTGGGGTTTCTTAGGGGCATCTCCATGAGATGGGAGGAAAGAGAGGAAACCTTCCTTATCTGTGGGCTTATCAGCGGGAGTCCACATGGGGAGGTCACCCATCACCCAAAATGGCAGCCTCTAGAGGAAAACCTAAGCTGTTAAAAATGAATTGAGCTGGTTACTATTTTTGTACCTGACCTACTTTTTGGTTACTTTCTACCGCTGTAGAAAAGCTCTGGGAGTTTTTGTAAATGAACCAAACGCCTTTTCCATGGTTTTGTCTTCTTTCCTTTTCACTCTACCACAAGGAAAATTGGCACAGTCCCTGCAACCCAGCTCTTGTACCCAAGCATCTATGGAAGAGTGTTGCTCTCCACAGAACCATCTTCCACAGAACTTCCTCAATTGTTTTTCCATGGAAGACTTAAAGGCCAGGAATAGCAAATCGATCCACCCCCAATGGTAGCGCTCATTTCCTTAGTGGTCCTGACTGTATTCCCCTGAGAACAAGAAGGGTTACACAGCCGTTCTCTCCTGCTGCCTCTTCTGGGGCAGGCTTCCCCACGTTGGGTTGGGTTGAAGGCCTGCCGGACGCCAAGTCTCCGCCATCAGAGTGCAGACGGAACTCAGGCAATAGAATATTTTCCCGTCTAGATCCTTCCTCTGTTGCCATTTTTGTCTGCAATGCCTCAGTGGATGTTGATTTTGTCAGGATATCATAACACTCAATAGAGTTTTTATTGGAACGAGGGGATGGATGCATGGCGAGGGGTGGATGGTGGAGGAGAGGAGAACATCCCGGCTCTGAATTTCAGGATTCTGTGTCAAAGCCATGGCAGCCAGCTAGCATCTGACTTACACAGACTGCTTCAGAAGAACAACTGACTTGAGGGGCAGTGAGAGGAAAGGGAGGCTGAGGGGAAGACTGAGAATCCAATGCTGTGCGGCTGATCGCAGCTCCCAGGACAAGCACCAAGGAAATGCTGACTCTTCTGAATTTCCTGAAGCAAAACTTGAGGGCTTCAAAAATCATTAACAGAAGAAGATCTGTTCAAGAGAGTCCTAAAGAGCCTTAAAAGGAAATGAAGAGATGAGCAGAAAACGGAGGCTGGGAAGAAAAGTTGCGGGGGTGGGGGGTCAGACTTACTTAACCAACAGATTGCCTATGTTGGTGGTGTGCCCAGAACTGTGCTTTAAAAGTAGGAGGTGAAGCCGTCGGCTGCTGGGCAGGAAAAAGTGGATTTGTAATGGTGGGATAGAAACGGTCTAGGAGGAACTTAGGGACAGTGAGAAGTGACAGTGACCGTGGTGGCTAGGTGGTTTTCTGGGGGACCTAGGAAATGGTGAAAGATAAAGATGCGTGTTTACAATTGTTTCCACACCGGCTCTAGCGCAAGCTGGGCCAAAGATCCCTGGCTCACTGATCTCCCCCAGTTCTTGCTCCCTATGGAAAATGCTCACTTAGTATATGCTCCAACTCATGTTCTAAAGCCTTTAATTGCAATGGTGTGTTTATTCAGTTCAGCAAGTGCTTGTTCAAAGCGCTAGCATTCTTGGCTCAAAATACGGGCTTGCATCATATTTTTCATACATCTGCTGACGGTTCACAATGGCTGGGCCAAGCCTCCATGGTTGTGTCAAATTCTCCTCTAGGCCACGCACACTTGGCAGTCTTGGGTCTGAGAATGCCTGAGTCTCCAGGCTGATCAGTTTAACTGTGTCCTGAGTGAGGAGCTTAAAAAGAGCTGATGGGACAAGAGGCAGATACAATGGAGAAGCAGAACTTGCCCTGCCCTCTCTTCTGGAAGTAGTGTTTATCCCTTGCACTGCTCTGGGAGTTTGAAAATGAACACAAAACTCAGCCCATCTCCTGGGACAGCTGACAACAGTGTCACTTGCTCCCTGGGCCTTGGGTTCTTCATCAGAAAATGAGGGAGTATTCGATCTCTAAGGTTCCATTCAGAACCTCTCCCAAGAGGAAGAAAGAAGGCTTTCCCAAGAAAAGGACCCTCCCCCTTTAGTCACTTGCTTCTTGACCACAGTTTTTCCCTTCACCTCTTAAAATTAGCCATTGACTCCTGGCAATAAACTTTACTCCTAAAAACACCCCTGAAGACTGCCCAGAAGTGCCTAGACCATAGCACTTGGGGAAAGTGCTGTTGAGAGAAAGCATCAAATTTATCGGGGTAATAGTAAAGCCCTTTCTGATATGCTGAAACTTTTTCATTGAATTACGTTTCTTTCAACAAGACTGCAATGAAAAGTGACACACTATCAAGTACCTTGAAAATGGATTGGGATTTGCCTCTGGCGGGGGGATTCAGTGGTTCAGAAGCGGGGTGGAGGGAGTGTGTGTTCATCTACGTGGGGCGTTTCTACAAAAATAATGGCTCTCTGCCTTAGATGCCCCACAACAGACCTTGGAAGAGCAAGGCCAGGGGAGTAAAGGCTCTAGTGGAGGTATTCTTGATTACAAAAGAGAAGCATGTAGAAAAGTGTGAGGACAGCAGGGCTGGAAGCAACTGCTCTTCCCCCACCAGAACTTCCTTGGTGCTGTGCTGAGACCAAACTTTAGAAGCGGAAAGATGGCTCCCACTAACTGAATGGCTTTGTGAGAAGAAAGTCCCTGAGCCTCCAGTTTTCCACTCTGTAAAATGCAGCTAAAACCCTTTACCCTCCTGACTTATGACGCCCCAAGGGGCTTTTATATGGAAAAGCACTTTGCAAAGGCAAGGCGACATTAAGATTTTAGTTAACATTTCCTATATTTTTATGCCTTTTCCCCCATGCTGGAATTCAGCTAGAACTTTGAGGTCCTCCTGGAAAGACCTACAGCAATCTTCCAGTGGCCAGACGAACAGCTCTAGAGGCAAAGGCAAATGCGTTGATCTGTTGAGGTTATAGTCTTGAACGGAGAAAAAAAAAAGATAATTTTACTTAGGAAGGGAGAAAAAGGAGATCAGCTGGTAGGAAAAATCTACATCTCTCAGGCTTCTTTCTACATTTTGTTGCTATTCTTTTTGTACTTTTCCCATTCAGACTGGAGCACATGGAATGATTAATCTTGAACAGTCTAAGAGATGTTTAGCCAGCAAATGCTTTCTAGGGGTAAGCAGTCATGGGGGCTCTAAGGGCTTGTGAAAGAACCATTTTCTAGAGCCCTGGAGCAGAGCACTGGTAACACACTGTAACTGTCTTTGAATTAGCAGGGTAGGGAACTCTGTTCTGGACTTGAGGGCTCGTTCCCCAGCAGTCTTGAATCTGAATCCAGGTCACAATTCCGCTGCTTTTCATGGTCTAGAAGGATGTAACCAAGTCTGATGGTCCCTAGAAGAGATGTCAGCCTTTAACAATGCATTCTTGGGCAAGAGGAAGAGACTCCTGTAAGAAACAGTTATCTTTGAAGAAGTAATAAAAATTACCCTAATGTTTGTACTGATAATACAGTTGCTAGTTTTTCCTTTTTCCCTTCCTTCCTTCCTTCCTTCTCTATTTCTTTCAAGCTTCGCATCTTTATTTGTCCACGTTAATTTAATATTTAAGAGTTCAGAGGGTCAGCTTTAACTTGCTTAGGACGTTAATATTTTCCTTGTTTTTTGTAGGAATTCCCAGAGACGCATAGAGACTTTCTCCTGCAAATCTTGTGCTTTCCCAGAGTATATCTGACTCCCTGAAAGTATTATTAATAATAATACTTTGCTTTCTCAATGCTGGAGGCCTTCAACCACAGCAGCCTCTGCTAAGAAGCTCTAATGGGAGGGAAGTCCCACAGCACAGCCAGGCCCTGCCTCTATGGGGGTTCCTGAGCTGATCATCACACACCATGCCCGGAGTCCCTCACCCAAGGCCGCGCAGGCAAGGGAGCTGCCCTGCCAGGTGGGAGGCACAGAGAGGATCCAGACAGGTCCTGGAACATCTCCCCATCAAGACAGCCTCGTGTGCTAAAGACAAGCATTCCTTTGGGCTTCTTCTTTCTTCCCTAAAAACCGAATCCCCCAAAACGGCAAACAGGTTTCTTTCACACAATATCGTGAAAAACTTCACTGGAAGCCCTTTGGGTGGTCACTGGGGTCACGAAGAGAAGCAAGGGGAGGGCGCTTGGGACCTTTTGCAAGGCCAGCCCAGACCCATTCTTCCTGGGGCCGAGTGGGAAGTGGATCACGCGAGTCCCAGAGCAAAAGGGCATTTGGGAGGGCAGCGAGAGACTGGGCAGGCCATCTGCAGGTGGGCGCTGGGCTTGGACCGCGAGGGAGGCGGAGTCCCTCAGGCGAGCGCCGGGTGCAATCACACCCTATTCCCCCACCCCCACCCCCACCCCGGCTCGATCCTTAATCCACAGGAGCTCCCTGAAACACTGCAAAGGCCCCTCTGTGGTTTCCTTCCACGGCCCGTGGAGATTCGGGGCGCCAAGTTCCGAAAGCATACCCGCACCCACTGCGGACCTCGCGTGTCCTACAAAGCAGGCCGGTGTCACGCAGGACGGCGAGAGGAGGGGCGCGGTAGCCGCACGGCCGCAGAGTCCCTGCGGCCCAGCCAGCCAGCGCGCCCCGCAGTGGCGCGACCGCGGCCTCCCGGGACTTGGGCACGCGCGCCCCGGGTCCCGGCGCCCTCCTGCCTGGAGCCCCGTAGGGCCGCAGCCGGCCAGCCCGGGCCCGGGGGCGGGGCCTGGGGCGGGGGCGGAGCCAGGCCGGCGGCCGGTGTCAGGTTGCTCCGGTAACGGTGACGTGCTGCGGCGTGGGCGGGGCAAACACGCAGGTTGCATATTTTAGGAAGTGAGGAGGAGGCGCGGGCTTGAGCTGCGGCGGGGTCTGGGGCGCGGAGCAGCGGCGGGAGGAGGCGGACACGTGGCAGCAGCAGCGGTAGCAACCTTAGCGGCGGCATCGGCCCCAGCCGCCGGCCGGTCTCCCTCCTTCCCGCCCCGCGGCAGCCCTAGCTCCCTCCTCTCCGCTCCCCCGGCCGCGCTAGCTCGGCCGGGAGCTGCTCTCTTCTTTCCTCTCTGATTCTCGAGCGACAGGACCCGGCGGCGCGCACAGACCTCCGCCACCATGGGGAAAGGGGTGAGTGTGCCGCGAGTCCGGCGAGGGGGCGCCGGGAGGGAGGAGGAGGAAGAAGAAGTCAGGAGGGCGCCCGCCGCAGCGGGAGGCGGCGGAGGAGGAAGCGGCGCGGCGTGGAACGGGCAGGCAAGGCGGCCGGGCTTAAAAGACGACGCACTCTGGAAACGGAGGGAGCGCAGCAATGGGGGCCGGGAGGGCGGGCGGGGGGAGGGAGCACCGGGGGGACGGCCGGCGGGCGGGCGGCGGCGCGGGGCTGGCCGCGGACCCCCGGGTCCCAGCGCGCTGCGGGCCGGGGGCTCCTGGAGGCGGCGCTCGGGAGCCGCGGGGCCCAGAGTGGGAGGAGGGCGGACGGCGCGGGGCCGCCCCGGGAAGGAGCTGGCGGCCGCGGCATCCCCGAAGCCGGCTCCCCTCCCCGCCCCTCCCCACTCTCCGCCCGCCCTCACCTCCCATCTCTTGCCTTCCCTTTTCCTTCCGCCCTCCGTGCCCGGAGGAAAGGCGTGCTCCTCCCCTTCCCCTGGGGCGCGCCGCCGGGGCCCCTCCCGGGCTGCCTTCCCACCGCGGCCCGGGTCCGGGCGCCCGCGGGGGCTTCCGACGCGGGGGCGGCCCTGAGGGGGTGAGGCTCCCACTCTCGGTGGCGCTGGGGCTTAGCCAGTTAACCCGGAGAGGCGGCCGCCCTCCCCAAAGAGGGGGAAAAACAACAAAAACTGGCTTCCCTTCACTGTGGAGCTGGTAGTGCTGGCTGGTGCCAGAAAGGGTGTGTCTTCACCGCCCTAAGATGGCCTTTAAGGTATACTTTTGAGAGCTTTAATGGGCCGCTTTCCATAAACACTGGATGCGCCCTGGGGCGGCTGGAGTGGTCATTTCCCTGGTGGGGCGGGGTGTGTAGAGTTTTGTTTTATTTTTTGAGGGATGAGCCTGGAAGGAGGACTGGCTGGCTCTTCAGGGCCTCTGCGTACAATAAACCTGAGAAAGGACTGCCGGCGGCGGGCGGGACGAGGTGGTAGGAGCGCAGAGCCGCGGGAGAGGGCGGCTCCCGCAGGAACCAGGGGGTCTCCGGGGCAGGGGCGGAGAATCCACGAAGCTCTGGCGAGAGCAGAGCCACAGCTCGTTTCTGTGTCTCTGTGCCTCGTAGCTGCGATAACCTGTAGCCACGGCAAAAGACCGAGTATCAGACCCTAACGGAGCCAAAGTCAAGTTGAGGAAAGTGCATACAAGATAACCGCCCCCCCCACAAAGTATCAGTTCATAGTAGAAAATGACCAGGTCGTGAGAACACGGGCAGGAGAACAGGCGCTCCGTTATCTCCAGGGCTTGCACTATGTGGGCATCTAGTAGGTCTTTGGAGATTTTCAGGGCTCCGCAGGGTGGCGGGAGTGGTGGGGGAAGAGGCAGGGTGTGTTCTTTGGGGATTCTTAATTTTGGGTGTTGAAGGAGGTGATTAGAAAGCCTTGAACCTGATAGGAAGGGTAGGGAGAAGTGGCATGTACCACCAGTATCTTTTAAAATCATAGAATGTGGAAGGCTGGCCCTGGTTACAGAGCTGGAGGCAAAGAGCTGAGAACCAGCCAGCATACTCCCCACGATATAAAAGTGGGTTAATGGTCCCAGGCCACACCGACAAACCCTAGGTCATTCCCATAAACAAGACCTTTTAAGCTCACCCTTTTATCTCCCCTCCCTCAAAAAAAGAGAAAAGTTGATATCCTGAGCTGGACATTCCTGCTTGGGGGAGGTGTAGTGATCGGGGATATGTTACTCAAGGCCTAGGAAGGTGAAGTGACTTGTTCAAGGTCAAATGGTTGGTTAGTGACACACCAGCCTGCCTGATTCCTGAACAGCCTGTGGCCTCCCCAGCCTGAACACTCACCCACTTAACGTTGCCTTATATGCAGAACTCCAGTGTTGTTCTTCATTCAGATGAAAGTGGGGTATTTGTGATCCTTGAATTAATGTCCCTAAGAGCTGTTTGAGTAACTAAGTTCTGTCCACCGTTATCTGTCTCTTTCATAACTGAACCCATGCACAACAGTGGTGATTCGCACACCTGGGTTGTGGAGGTTCTGAGCTCAGGATGTCTTAGGGATCTTAGTATAAAAAGCCGGTGGCTGCAAACACAAAAATGAATTATAGCTGGTTCCCAGGATGATAGGCTCCTTATCTGCTGGGTAAGCGTTTTGGGGGACTCTGGTAAATTGAATATTAAATAGGGGGGAGATGTGTGTTGGTGATTCTCCTGAGATAAAGTCACCCCTTCTGTCCCCAGTGACTTACCGTGATAGTCCAATGTTCAGAAGGATATTTTATGCTGAAATGCTGGGATTTTTCCACATGGGGATTAAAATGTGGGTGGAGTGGTGACTAAAGCCCTCCTGATAATTGGTTAACCAGGAAGCCTGTGCTGGCAGCTAATTTTTAAGGTCATTGTTAATTTCTTCCCCTCCTCTTCCCACTGCCTTGGGGGCCTAAGTTTTGATGGTATTTCAGGTGATTTTATTTCTCCTTAAAAATCTAGTTCCTAAGCTCTCGGTAAGAAAATGAAAGATTCAGCTCCTGCTGGATCATTCCTGGATGAAATAGGATTTTGTCCCTTTTTTTCATATTGGGTGTTGTTGCCAGTGACTTGGCCTAAAGCCGCAGCCAGTCCTGCCACCCACAACTAGCTCACCAAAAGGTACACAAAAAAATCTTTCTCTTTTCTCAAGTTTACAAAAGCTAGGGGTGGGGGGCATGTCACCAGGTCCTTCCTTGTGGTTCCCCATTGTTTGAATATTAACTTAGTTACCTGGAAAATATCCTAGCTTATGGGTGGTGATTTCAAGAGGAGCGGGGGGGAAAAGATTTCAGGTGAAGGTTGCACAAGGGATACACATGTCAGCAGAAATCCTATGGTGACATTATCAGCTGCCCTTTGGGAGCTCAACTTGAAAGTGTGACTAAATCCCCTCTGGCCGCTATAAAGTGAGTACTTTAGACTGGAAACATCGGAAGGCAGAGTCCTCAGAGTGGAAAGTTGCCCGGGCCTGGCCTGGAGCAAGTGGAGAGTGGTTACAGGAGGAACTGTTGACCAGCCAGGGGGCCGGACCAGAGGGCGGGGACCAGAGGGCTGGGACCAGAGGGCCCAGGTTGCATCACGCTCTTTTTGCCTCTGAAGTGTTCAGTGTGTGAGTGTGACAGTTCCTGGCTCAGGGTTCTTTCTGTACCCTGTTCTGAGGGTGTATCCTCTTTTGGTAACTTACTGTTTGTTAATTTGTAGTGTTCTCTGCCAGTAAGTTTGTAACACTCTAGTGACTCACCTTTGGGTGGGAGGGTAAGGAAGGGGGAGGTCTGCATTGTAAATGAGGAGGCTGAGAGGAGGCTAACCCCTGTAACCTCCCTCCCGCACCCTGCAGGGGGGGTTAAAAAATTCAGTAAATACGCATTCAGGTGAGAGCTAAAACTGAAGAAAGGTGTACATTTTGGTACAGAGGGTGATATTCCTCCCCACCCCCACCCAGCTTCTTGTAAACTGGAAGTGTTACCACTAAGTTTCATTTAAAAATAAAAAGTGAACCCAGAATTAGAAAGCACAATAGACTTGGTACCCAAACATGCTCCATCCAGAACCTTTCCAAGTCCTTGTTTCCTGATTATTTTAGCAACAAATTAACAGTTAAGTGACTTTCTGTTCAAAATCAGGCTGTGTTGTCTTAAAGATATCCAAACTTAGGAATAAGATAAAGGCTTTAACTATTTGAAGGATTTTGTAGGCAAAAGTAAGAAAAATTAGTTTGTTCATTTAAAACGAAAAGGTAAAAACAAATATATATATATGTGTATACACACATATATATGTATACACACACACACACACACACACACACACACATATATATTTTTTAAAGCCCTCAAGCTTCAGGTTTTCAGCTGGCCCTTTAAGTAGGCTCCTGGCCCCCAAGACCAAATGCAGTCATCTCTGTTCTGTCCAAAGTGAGTGCAGTGCAGGCACATATCACAGCTATGGTTAGGCTTACCAAGGATTTGGCATGGAGAGAAGATCAGATCTTTATAAACTATAGGTTTCCTGTTCATCGGTTAGTCTTAAGGCCTCCAAAGCCAGACAAGAATTTTTCTTTCACCTGAAAAACATACTAAGGATGGAAAAATAATCGGAACTACTATTAATTACCGTCTAAAGGAAAGCCAAGTGGAAGTATCCCTCGACATTGCTGACCTCCTAATTTAACAGCATCTTAGAGCTTTCGTCTACTTTCACTTTTCAAGCAAGGAACTTGACTTTTTTTTTTTTTTTTTTTTTTTTTAAGACTAAAAAAAAAAAAAGGGGGGGTGGGAGGGGTTGCTTTTCAACCCTCTGTGATGGGAAGGGAGTGTGAACATTTGTGCTGCGGTGCCTTCTAGCTGCCCAGGGCTCTCTGCCAGCTAGCAGGCCAGAAGAAGAAACACGAGTGTCAGATCAGATGGGCTCACAGTAATCAGAGTGGCTGCGTTTGGACAGCATGACGCTGGGCAGAATGTTTCCCCATCGCTGCCAGAGCTGTCCAGTTCTGGGTTACTCTGAAAATACATGGCCAGTAAGCGATAATGCAAAGCAAAGAGAAGTTGAAAGCCCACTGGCTTTTTTTTTTTTTTTTTTTTTTTTACGCTCTCCTTCGTTTCTGTATTTTTGGAAGAGGAGACGTAACCAAGTCAGGTTTGAACTTTCTCACGTTGCTATGAATTGAGTGTATGAGAGGAAGTGTATTCTTTGGCTGGAATCTCAGAGAGACTGTTCTTTGCATATGACTCACCTCATTAGTTCTGCTGAAATCTGTTGTCAGGAATCCACAAGAAGTTCTTCACATTTATTTGACTGATGTTTGGGTAGCAAATTCGATCAGTGAGAAGAGAGCCCCCATCCATCCACCCACCCACCCACCCTGCAGTTTTTCTCTCGGGTTTCATTTGCGTCCTGAGCCTTGGGAATTGGGGCCAGTACACCTCATTCCTTACTTCCTTTGTGACTCTAC